TTAGGACTCTATATAGAGTGTTATTTTTCCTCCATAATTGTGATCATTCTGAACTTTTATTTTCTTTTTTTCTGAGTTAACACTATGACATCTTTCTTCATTGTTATTGTATTCTGCTTACAGATGCTATGCATGTATTTCATTGACATTCAAACATTTAACCAATTGGCTTCAATTTTGTTATGTATTTATGTGGCACTGTATGATAGGCACTTGACCATAAGGTTGGTTTGAACCTGAAGGTCGACGGTTCAAACTCACCAGCTGCTCATCGTAAACCCTATACAGGGTCACTGTCTGTGAGTCAAAACTGACTTGGCAGCACTTGACAATAACAGCAACATACCAGGGGTCAGCAATGACTCAGCTCTGCTGTTGTAGAACAAGAGTAGCCATAGACAATATGTAAACCAATGGGTATAGCTGTGTTCCAATAAAACTTTATTATGAAAGCAGGTAGTGAGACAGATTTGGCACACAAACAATAGTTGACTGACCCCTGGTTTATTGCTGTGAAAGTGGGTTTGCTGTTCTACAACCTGGGATTATTTTCAGTTTAGCAATGTGTCTCAGACCCCTCCATGCCTGCGTGTACTAGAATCCCGGAGTCTGGTCCATGGTGTGTCTATCTGGTTGTGTTGATGGACCTTAATTAGTGGCTCTCTATAGCAGCAACATTGAGCTAGCTCCTCTTTCTCTGTCTTCTCCTATACTCTGTGGTGAACACCTTTGTACTCAAGCTTGACCTTTGGACCAGTTTAACTTGGAGTGTTCCTGGGGAATCCTCATGTTGGGAGCACATTCTGGGACTGAAGAGTGTATACCCACCGACTAGTGATTGATTCCAACTCATTGTGACCCCACAGGACAAAGTAGAACTGCTCCTCAGGGGTTCTTAGACTGTAGATCATTATGGGAGCAGACAATCTTATCTTTCTCCCAAGGAGTGGCTGCTAAGTTTGAACCACCAGCCTTGTGGTTGGTTAGCAGCCCAATGCTCAGCCCACAGTGTCACCAGGGCTCCTTGAACGACTGTTTATAATGTGTTTTATCTGGTTCACTTTGTGTGTTAAGCTTTTCTGACTTTAAAAACAAAACAAGATTTTGCCATCGAGTCAAATCTAACACATGGTGACCCCACATTTGTCAAAGTAAAACTGTTCTACAGGGTCTACAGTGGCTGATTTTTCTAAAGTAGATTGCCAGACTCTTCTTTCAAGGCATTTCCAGGTAGGCTTGAACCGCCAACCTTTTGATTAGCCACAAAGTGCATCAACCCTTTGCACCTCCCAGGGACTCCTTTTCGGATTTAGTTGTCAACATTTAAAACTCAAAACAAGTTTATAGAATTGCCAGAGTGTGGAACTCTAAAACCATGAGGTGACGAGAGGGGTCAGGGATGCCTGAAGGTCGTGTCCTTGCTGCTGTCTCCCTAAGTAACTTCAAGTTGGCCCTCATGCCCTACTGCTCAGCCCCAGGCCCCAGTGAGAAGACCAGTCACAAGGAATCAAGGGCTTGGAGAAGGTGCTAGTCTCGCCTTTGAAGTCTTGTCTTGGCCAGGCCTCCCCCACACCTACACTCCCCCTGTGTCTTGTCTCTCCTAGGTACTGTGGCACCGTGCCCAGTATGAGCCCTTCTTCCACATGCTCAGTGACCCCGAGGCCTATGTGTTCACCTGTGTCAACCAGACAGCAGAGCAGCAGGAGCTAGAGGATGAGCAGCGTCGACTATGCGACATCCAGCCCTTTCTGCCCGTTCTGCGCCTCGTGGCCCGAGAGGGCGACCGTGTGAAGAAGCTCATCAACTCACAGATCAGCCTCCTCATCGGCAAAGGTACCCCTGCCGGTAGGTCCCGCCACAGGGTACCGTCTGCCAGTGCCCCAAGCTGACCCTACCTCTTCCTGCCTCTCAGGACTCCATGAGTTCGACTCCTTGAGAGACCCAGAGGTGAACGACTTCCGCACCAAGATGCGCCAGTTCTGTGAGGAGGCTGCATTGCGCCGCCAGCAGCTGGGCTGGGAGGCTTGGCTGCAGTACAGCTTCCCCCTGCAACTGGAGCCTGCAGCGAGGGGCTGGGGCGCTGGCACCCTGCGCATCCCCAACCGGGTCCTCCTGGTCAATGTCAAGTTCGAGGGCAGCGAGGTGAGCCCTGTTCCTTCCCCTCACCTAGACATTGCTGTAGTTTCTGCTGAGGGATGTTTCCCCATGGCCCCCCAAACCCACCTCCCTCTAGGAACATCCCTGCACACGAGGGCTCCACTAGATGTTTCACCAGGCCAGTTAGACCAGGCCTCACTGGTCCCAGTAAAACAGAGTGGTCAGTGGTAGTAGGCCACTCGTTTATTCATTCATTCAACCAAAACTGCCTGAGTGTTAGTCTGATGTCCTCACCAGTGGTCACTAAGACCCTCAGGGAGCTCATCTGTGGGGAATGGAGCTGCCTACTACAGACACCAGGGTCCCCTGGGCCCCAGTCTGCCATGGGACAGAAGGCTGACCCACCCTTCTCCCCCCAGGAGAGCTTCACCTTCCAGGTGTCCACCAAGGACATGCCCCTGGCGCTGATGGCCTGTGCCCTCCGGAAGAAGGCCACAGTGTTCCGGCAGCCACTGGTGGAGCGGCCGGAGGACTACACGCTGCAGGTGAACGGGAAGCAAGAGTACCTCTATGGCAGCTACCCTCTCTGTCAGTTCCAGGTGAGGCCCGGGGGCCCGAGCCTTGTTCCCCACGGCCCTGCACTGGACCTCGGGGGTCAGGGGATGACGAGAGCTGGTCCTTAGGTCCTTCTTAAGCCTGATGAGCCAGGGCTTTGGGGGTTATGGCCAAAGCATCCCTCACTGGGCTGATCCTCTCTGTAAACACAAGGAGAGACGCCATCCTGAAGAGGTGATGGGGTGGGAGCACCCCGGAGGCCCTGGGGTGGGTGAGGAGGAAGCTGTCCATCATCAGCTCAAATTGTGTTCCTCTCAGTATGTCTGCAGCTGCCTGCACAGTGGGCTGACCCCCCACCTGACCATGGTGCACTCCTCCTCCATCTTGGCCATGCGAGATGAGCAGAGCAACCCCACGTCCCAGGTCCAGAAGCCCCGCAGCAAACCACCCCCTATCCCTGTCAAGAAGGTGAGCTAGCAGCCTGCGCAACCTCTCCCCCATCCCTCTGCTCACCATGTGCTCAACCCCAAAGCCTGTTGGGAAGATCCTGGGTCAGCCATAGGTCCAGGACCTGCAGCCTCATGTCCCATGGCTGCTCCAGGTGGAGAGTTGGGGTTTTGAGCCTGAGAGGCTCATGGGGCCGGGGCTGGCTGACCTGCTGCCCAGCCCCACGGATGCCAGCATCCCATACTTTCAGTAGAGCTCAGGCAGTGGCGCTGGGGCATCTACACAGCGCGTTTTCTGGGAAAGGACGGTGTCTGAGTTTTGCCACAAACCTGCAACACCCGTACACCACCCCCAAACAGTGTTCAGAGCAGTGTGCCCAGTGAGAGAGTTCTGGTTCTACGTGGCCCATGGCCTGCACCATCACAGTCCTGCTTCTTTCTCACCCAGCCTTCCTCTTTGTCCCTGTGGTTCCTGGAACAGCCATTTTGCATTGAGCTGATCCAGGGCAGCAAAGTGAATGCTGATGAACGCATGAAGGTAGGGACTCCAGGGGCAGGTGGAGAGCTAGGGGCGTTTGCACACACAGGTGGCTGTGGCTGGAGGGACAGCAGAGGAAGAAGGGGGGGGGGGGGGGGTCACACGAAAGCCTCCTGACCACATTACCCAGCTTCCCTTCCCAGAGTTGTTTGAAAGCTGCTTCAAAACAGGAAGCTGGGGGTGGAGTGGGGGAGCCAGGCTGGCCAGCCTAAGAGATCAATTCGCAGAAACTTAGACCCAGCCGGATTCTGGGTATTGAGCTTAGTGGAGGTGGTGGGAATCAGGCCCAGCCCTAAGAAGCAGGAACCACAGAGTGATGGTGGTACTGTTGGGGGGGGGGGTGTTGAGGGGGGAGCAGCTGCAGGCACAGAAGAAGGTTGCCTCCAGCTGGGCGGAGTCTGGGTGTTCCCAGGGGCCCTGAAGGTGGAGTTGCAGGCAGGTGCAGCCATCCCTGTCTCACCCTGGGGGCTAGTGATAGAGTCTAGGCTCACCACTGCTGCAGTGACAATATGGAGACTGCACTGTCCTCGCTTCCAAACGGCTTCCAAACACCGTGACACTCCCAAACCTTTCTGTCCTTAGAACTGCCCTGTGATTCAGCAAGGTTGACTCTCATGCCTGTGGGTACTTTTTGGTAGGACACTTTTACCAGCAGGCAGGTCTGAGCTCCCCCACTAGGATTATGGTAGACTAGGTTAGATGGGCTGGCAGGCGCCGAGCTTCAGAAAGAGTGATGAGGGTGGGAGATGTGGAGTGGAGCCTTCCCAGTTCACAGAGGCTTGTGAGACCCCAAGAAGTGAAGGAATCCCCAAAATGTGGTATCTCCTGAGTCTACGTGGGGACACTGAGGCTCAGAGCAGGGAAGGGACCTGACCTGGAGTTCCACAGAGCCAGCAAGGGAGCTAATACCAGGCGCCCTTCTCCCCACCCGCTAGCTACAGGATCCTGTCCTACCCAGGCAGCCGGACCCTCCCTCTGCCATACCACCTTGTTCCTATGGAACTTAAGTGAGGCTATTCAAGGAGAAGAAAAGGAGCCCTGGTGGTGCAATGGCTTAAGCACTCGGCAGCTCACCTAGGGATGCCATGGAAGATAGACCTAGCAGTCTGCTTCTGAGGGGTCACAGCTGTAGAAAGCCCTAGGAAACACAGTTCTGCTCTGCACATATGGGGTCAGCAGGAGTCAGAATTGACTCCATGGCAAGTAACCATGAGGAGGAGGAGGAGATTTAGGCTTTAGGGCTGGGAAGACCTCAGTCCTGGTAGCCTGCTGGCTGAGTCTGGCTTGCCCTCTCACCCTGCTTCTGCTCAACCATATCCCGCCACCTCTCTCAGCTGGTGGTACAGGCGGGGCTTTTCCATGGCAATGAGATGCTGTGCAAGATGGTGTCCAGCTCAGAGGTGAGCGTGTGTTCGGGGCCCGTGTGGAACCAGCGTCTGGAGTTCGACATCAACATCTGTGACCTGCCCCGCATGGCCCGGCTCTGCCTCGCACTTTATGCCGTGATTGAGAAAGCCAGGAAGGCTCGCTCCACCAAGAAGAAGTCCAAGAAGGCGGTGGGTCGGGAAAGGCAGGGCGCCCCCTGCTGTACCCAGTCTTACCCCTGCAGCTAGGCCTCTCCTCATCCTGCACCCAGTCTGGGAGCGGGGCTCCAGGGAGCCCCCTCCCTGACCTGCCTCCACCCTGCCCTCAGGAAGCCCTTGGGATGCTGGGTTGTGAGCAGACTCCTTGGTCCTGTGGAGTCAGGGTGGAGGACAAAGTTGCCTGAGTCACAGCTCTAGGAACAGTGATGTTGGAGCTCTGAATCATGAGGCCCAGGATGTGACTCCACTCACCTCTGCTGACTCAGGCAGAGCTGAGCAAGGCCTGCTCTCTAGAGGCTGAAGTGATTGATTTCCGGGGGTTTTGAGAAAACAGGGGGCTTGGGGGTGTGTCCCTAAGAGCAGAGGGTATAATGACTTGGCTGACCTTCCTCACTGGGGTCCTGACAGGGAAGAGGACACAGTGGGTACACCCATCATCTGGGGTCTGATTGGGAATCCTCAGTTGGGGTCTGAATCATCTCCATCCTTCCTTGGGGTGTCTGGGTGAGGGCAAGGGAAGCTTGGCCTGGTGGCTGGTTCCACTCCACAGATGTGTAAATGGAGTCCCCTCAGGCCCTGACCTGCTCTGTCCTCCACAGGACTGCCCCATCGCCTGGGCCAACCTCATGTTGTTTGACTACAAGGACCAGCTGAAGACTGGGGAACACTGTCTCTACATGTGGCCCTCTGTCCCAGGTCTGCCTGGGCCAGATCCAGAGGTTTCAGGGGCTTGGGGGCCCCAGGGCTGGTGGCATTCCCCACAGACCTGACTCCATCTGTCCATGTTCAGATGAAAAGGGGGAGCTGCTGAACCCTACAGGGACTGTGCGGAGTAACCCCAACACAGAGAGTGCCGCCGCCCTGGTCATCTGCCTCCCCGAGGTGGCCCCCCACCCTGTGTACTACCCTGCCCTGGAGAAGGTCAGTTCAGGGCATCCAATCACCTGGCTGGACTGGGCCCCTAGACATTAGGACCTAGCTTGCTCAGAGGGGAACTTTCTAGACCCTGTCTCTGGTACTCCCCAGCACAAGGGCCTGGCCACTCCATGAGCTGCCCAGGGCCAGGGGCTAGGTCGCCATGCACATAGGGAGTGTCCTTGACTATCTGGAATCCTCACATGCCCTAGAGCATTGGTTTTCCATCAGTATTGACCCCCCAGGTGCCTGGCTGTTACTGGGACAGGTTGGCAGTTAGAACTTAGCCAGCAGCTCCTTGAGAGAAAGGGGTGAAAATACTCTCCCATAAAGATAGTCGTTATTGATAAGTGCCATTGCGTCAGGTCTGACTCATAACGACCCTGTATAGGGTTCCCAAGGAGCAGCTGGTGAGTTTGAACCCCCAACCTTGCGCTTCAAACCAACCTTGCGGTCCAGTGCTGATCCTACAGTGCCACCCCAGGACTCCCCATAAAGAGTACAGCCTAGAAAACGACTCTGTCACATGGGTAACTGTGAGCTGGAATCACCTCCACAGTACACAACAGCAACAGGGCCAACTGCACAATGTCCAGAGACCTTTTCTGTCGTCGTAACTGGTGTGGAAGGAGATTGAGCTCCTGCCATCTAGGTGGTAGAGGCTGGGATAACCCTAAACGTCCTACAAGGTCCAGGACAGCCCAGGACAGAATCATCTGGCCGCACCTGTCAGCAGCGCTGACCTTGGAACCCCAGGCTGAGTCTCAGTCTTGTGTAGGGTGGCCCAGGGCTGGCTGGTGTGGCCCCACTGAGGGCAGGCTGCTCTCATTGCAGATCCTGGAGCTGGGACGGCACGTGGAGCATGGGCGCTTCACCGAGGAGGAGGTAAGCTGGGTACCGGGGGGCGCTGGGCGGGATGAGGTGGTGGCAGGGGGGCGTCCCTCATGCCCCTGCGCCCCTCAGCAGCTGCAGCTGCGGGAAATCCTGGAGCGACGTGGGTCGGGGGAGCTGTATGAGCATGAAAAGGACCTGGTGTGGAAGATGCGTCACCAGGTCCAGGAGCTCTTCCCCGAGGCGCTGGCCCGCCTGCTGCTGGTCACCAAGTGGAACAAGCACGAGGATGTGGCCCAGGTGGGCAGAAGGTGGGGGTGGGCAGAGCTTGGGTCAGCTTGGTGGCCGCTCCCCTTACAGCCCTCATCCCTAGGGGCCTCCTCCCAGAACCTCCTTCCCTAGCGGTCTCCTCTCACTCGCAGATGATCTACCTACTGTGTTCGTGGCCCGAGCTGCCCGTGCTGAGTGCCCTGGAGCTGCTGGACTTCAGCTTCCCAGACCGTCACGTGGGCTCTTTTGCCATCAAGTCCCTGCGAAAACTCACGTGAGTCCCGTAGGCTTCTGGGAGCTAGGGAGCAGTGGGACTGGAGGGTGACTTTGCCCTACCTAACTGGGGAGGGGGACTGAGCCTTGGCTGGGGCCTGCTGGCATGTGGGAAGGCTGCCTCTTGGTCCTGTCCTGCCTCTTATCCCCACCCTGTGACCCCCCCTCTCTGGAGTGGCCCCAGCAGCCCCCCTTCCTTGCAGGGATGATGAGCTTTTCCAGTACCTGTTGCAGTTGGTGCAGGTGCTCAAGTACGAATCCTACCTGGACTGTGAGCTCACCAAGTTCCTACTGGACCGGGCGCTGGCCAACCGCAAGATCGGTCACTTCCTCTTCTGGCACCTCCGGTAGCTGGACTCCCCCAGTCTCTGTGTCCCCCCAGGCGGGAAGGTCATGGTGGGCATGGGTGGGAGAAGGGCCTTCTCTTCTGGCTTGGAGTTTCCAGCAGGCCTGGGTGTCCTGACCATCTGGGAACCACGTGGCCCTGCCCAGGGCTCAGTCCTCTCTCCCCCTGCAGCTCCGAGATGCACGTTCCAGCCGTGGCTCTGCGCTTTGGTCTCATCATGGAGGCCTACTGCAGGGGCAGCACCCACCACATGAAGGTGCTGATGAAGCAGGTGAGACTCCGACCCTGAGCCCCTCCCCAAGGCAGGGCCCTTTCCAATCACCCAGCCTGCTGAAGGCCAGAATGGGATCCCTTGGTGCCTGCCCCTGCCACCCTCCCCTTCTCCTGCTAGGGAGAAGCACTGAGCAAGCTGAAGGCCCTGAATGACTTCATCAAAGTGAGCTCCCAGAAGACCACCAAGCCTCAGACCAAGGAGCTGATGCACGTGTGCATGCGGCAGGAAACCTACCTGGAGGCCCTTTCCCACTTGCAGTCCCCACTTGACCCCAGCACGCTGCTGGCTGACGTCTGGTGAGCCCCACCCGTGTCCCGCCAGGGCCCTGCCTGACTGCCCCCGCCCCGCAGAGGCCCACTGACCAATCTCTGGTCCAGCAGCGTGGAGCAGTGCACCTTCATGGACTCCAAGATGAAGCCCCTGTGGATCATGTACAGCAATGAGGAGGCAGGCAGCGAGGGTAGCGTGGGCATCATCTTCAAGAACGGGGATGGTGAGCAGGCAGGGCCTGGGTGGGACCCCACTGAGACCTGCCCCCTCTGTACCTGTACCAGCCTGGGGGCTGCCTGGAGAAGACAGTCCTGAGACTTTAGGGCCTGGGCCTAGCTCAGAGTGCAGAACCCAGCGGAAACTCATGTTGTCTTTCCAACTAGACCTCCGCCAGGACATGCTGACGCTGCAGATGATCCAGCTCATGGACATTCTGTGGAAGCAGGAGGGGCTGGACCTGAGGTGAGGGCCCCTTTTTACCCATTTGTGTCTGCACAAGACCTGGGACTCTGTCCCTTGGGGAGGAGGTTGCCTGTCCCTGCTGAAAAAGGGCTGTTGTAAGAAAAGTAGGGGTGCTTTCCGAGTCGGGGTGAGGGAGGAGATGGTGGCAACAGCATGTGTTGGAGGAGGCATTCCAGGCTTGCATCTCCTCACCTTACTCCCTGTTTTCTTCACCCAAGTGTTCCTGGCTTCCTGTCCCATCTTTGCAAGCAGTAGCATCCTTTTCCAACCATCGTGGCTTTCTTTTCTGAGCTCTCCCCTGAGTCTCCAGTGCCAGGGCTGACTCTCCAAGGGGCCTTAGAGTCATGAACTCCTTCCCACCTCCTTCTGTGGTGTTTTGGGGGACTTCAAGTTCTTTAGGACCTTGACCATGGCCATTGCCTCCTAATTCTGCACTGCTATAGGATGACACCTTACGGCTGCCTCTCCACCGGGGACCACACAGGCCTCATCGAAGTGGTGCTGCACTCGGACACCATCGCTAACATCCAGCTGAACAAAAGCAACATGGCGGCCACCGCTGCCTTCAACAAGGATGCCCTGCTCAACTGGCTTAAGTCCAAGAACCCTGGGTAGGTTTCGGGGGCTCAGATGCCCTCTACTGTTCAAGGAAAGTTGGTTTGGGAGGGGCTGGCCCATTACTGCCACAGGTAAGAGAAAGGGCCTGTGACATTCAGGCCGAGGGCCACCTCATGTCTGCTCCTCTGCATATCAGTTATTTATTGCTGTGTGCCAACCACCCAGATCCTAGAGACTTAAATACCCACTTACTGCTCATGAATTGGAAGTTCTGGCTGGGGTCAGCTTTGTGATTCTTCTGCTGCTCTGGTTTGGGATCACTACAGTTGAACAGTAAATAAGGAAAACTGTAGAAGAATTGATGCTTTTGAGTTATGATGTTGGAGGAGAAAATTGAAGGTGCCATGGGTTGCCAAAAGAGCAAACAGGTCTGTGTTGGAAGAAGTGCAGCTAGAGTGCTCCTTGGAGGCCAGGATGGCCAAACTTCGTCTCTTATACTTGGGATATGTTGTCAGGAGGGACCAGTCACTGGAGAAGAATATCATGTTTGGTAGTATGGAGGATCAGAGAAAAAGAGGAAGACCCCCAGCGAGATGGATTGGCACAGTGGCAGCATCAATGGGCTCAAACAGTAATGATTGTGAGGTTGGCCCAGGATCGCGCAGTGTTTCGTTCTATTGTGCATAGGGTCCCTATGAGTCGGTACTAATTCTATGGCACCTAACAATAGCTGTCTTCTAGTGGCTTGACAGGACCTGGGGATTCTACGATGGCCCCACTGACTTGTCTGGGGCCCTACTGCTAACTTTGAGTCATATCCCTCTCCCTGTGGCCTCCTCATTGGATAATCCAGCTGGGATTTTCTTCTATAGGCAGGAGTGCCTGAGAGCTGTGAGATGTTTCAAAGCCTAGGCTCTGGAAGGCTCCCAACATCATTTTCTCCCCACTGTGGCCAAAGCAGGTCACCAGGCCAGCCAGGTTTGAGGGGAGGGGAACAGCCCACAGGCCTTGGTAGAAGGACCATGGTTTCAATCTTCCCCACCCAGGGAGGCCCTGGACCAAGCCATTGAGGAGTTCACCCTCTCCTGTGCTGGCTACTGTGTGGCCACCTATGTGCTAGGCATCGGCGATCGGCACAGTGACAACATCATGATCCGTGAAAGTGGGCAGGTAGGCAACCACCACACGGGCAACCCGGGGTCCTAGCGGTTCTGCCCTGCACACAGTTTCTGGACACAGTCCCCTGCACGCCCCTTGGGATCACTGCACCGGACAGCTCTTCTTCCCGACAGCCCTCAGCCTTTGCCCTTCCCTCCCCTTAGCTGTTCCACATTGATTTTGGCCACTTCCTGGGGAATTTCAAGACCAAGTTTGGAATCAACCGTGAACGAGTCCCATTCATCCTCACCTATGACTTTGTCCATGTGATTCAGCAGGGAAAGACGAACAATAGTGAGAAATTTGAAAGGTGAGGGTGTCTTAGGCCCACCAGGGTCCCTCAGTCTCCAGAGGCACAGTGAGGAAGCAGAGGTCCTTGCAGCCCCACTCCAGCCCTCACCCCAGGGTGCTGAGGGATTTGGATCAAGTCCTTGCTTTCTCAGCAGGATGGACCCCCACCCCAGTCCTGGAGTGCCCTGCTGGGGCAGTAGGGGGACAGTTGTAGGCCATGTATGTATAGGAAGAGTCAGGCTGTGGGGGGGGGGGGAGGGTCAGTTCGAGGAATTGGGCACTGGTGTACCTGGCTTGTCTTCAGGGTAAGGGCAGGTGTTCTGGGGAACTTGCTGCAGTCTCCACCTTCACCTGTGCAGGTTCCGGGGCTACTGTGAGAGAGCCTACACCATCCTGCGGCGCCACGGGCTGCTCTTCCTCCACCTCTTCGCCCTTATGAGAGCGGCAGGCCTGCCTGAACTCAGCTGCTCCAAAGACATCCAGTATCTCAAGGTGAGTCAGTCAGGAGGGTCACTCCCCAAGACTCCGCTGTCTCCGAAGGAAGAACCCCACTGGCCATCCCCAGTATCCTCCAAGTGGGCAGTGATCAAAGCAAGATTCATGCTTCCTGGCATTAGGCTGTGACCTGCTGCAGCTTTGCCCCATGCCTTGGTCAACCCACTATCCTCCTTAGGCTACGGTCTTTTCATTGATAGGCTGGGCTGGGCTGGGTCCAGGTTCAGTTTCCTGCATGTTCTCAGATAGTGAGAAGCGAGGGTGACTAGTGAGAAGGGCCTAGCCCGGAATGCTAGCCGGGGTGCCCTGTTGGTGCCAATTCTTGCCCTCTATGAATCGGGCTGCTAACCTCAAGGTCGGCAGTTTGAAACTACCAGCGGTTCCACGGGAGAAAGATGAGGCGTTCTGTTCCTGTAAAGATTTACAGCCTTGGAAACCCTGTGCAGGGTTACTGTGAGTCGGTACCGACTCCACGGTACTCAACAACTACCTCTCTAGGTGGGGCTACTGTCTCCCCTCTGCCCTTTACTTTGTGGGTGGGCCACCCTGAGGGGCTGGCTGTAGCCTACCCTGTTGGAGTTGTTCTGTTAGGAGGGAACTGAGGCTACCCAGAGGGACAGGAGGGCCCTACCCACCTTCGTGTTAACGCTGCTTTGCTGCTTTGGTCTCAGGATTCCCTGGCGCTGGGAAAAACGGAAGAGGAGGCACTCAAGCACTTCCGGGTCAAGTTTAATGAAGCCCTTCGAGAAAGCTGGAAAACCAAAGTGAACTGGCTGGCCCACAACGTGACCAAAGACAACAGGCAGTAGCTGCCCCTCAGACCCTGCGTGCCCTTGACTCTCAATCCTCCTGTCTGGAGTGGAGACCTTTACCCTAAAGGGCTGAACAGCACCTCGTGGGAAAGACCTACACACTCGCCTTTTGTTTACACAGAAATACTTGCAGTAATTTATTTATGACTTGAAACGTTGAAAGGACTAAACAGCCATACAAGGAAACGCAGCCTCTGAGCTTGATGGGGAAGAGGCAGGCACACTCCCAGGCTGCCTCTCAGTGGAGGGCCACAGCCCCAGTCTTCCAGCTGGTGACCTGGACCCAGCCAGATTCCTCTCCTCCCACCCCTGGCTGTGGGGTACTGGCTCCAGCCGTTCCCTGGTGCCCTCAACCCTTCTACCCATCTCTGTGCTGCCCAGCCCTGCACAGACCCCACTGACTGTGATTTGGGGTGCCCTCCCCGAGGATGCCTGGTGCCCCGAGATTCAGGGATGCTGCACTTTGCTTTTAAAGTTAATTCTTGGGCCTGGGATCCTCTCAACTCTACTGTAAGGCCATTTTATGTGTGGATAAACCTCCATGGCTAGGAAAAACTGAGCTCGCCCCACAAAATATAGGTGGGTCCTCAAAAAGTGTTAAAAATGTTAGGGGTTAAAAAGCGTCGAGCTTGTTTGAGTTCATCCTGGTTCTGAATCAGGGCTGCTCCGGAGAACTCTGTGCAATACTTGGACCTGCCTCAGAGGGCAGGCATATATGAAGGGCTGGGGCCTGGGCTCCTTTTCCCAAAAGGTCACTTTGGAAAACCTTCTGTGAGTCATCGAGCCCAATAGTGCAAGGATGGGTGTGGCCGAGTCTTTTCCTCTGATGGTACTTACCTTTAGACCTCAGTTCTAAGAGCAGTTCCCAACTGTTTAGATTCAGGAGCTTTAAAAAAGCAGATTCTGGGGTGGTGGCTTTCCCACCTTCAGAAGTTGAGGGGCTGCTCAGGAATCTGGGTTTTTAGAAGCCCACACAGGTGATTCTAATGTGCAGACTGTTGACCTCTCCAAGGCCGCTAGGGCTGGGCAAAGCTGAGGTAGTTGCCCTCTCAAAAGCTCAGCACCTAGCTTAAAGAGGCAGGTGGCTGGCTGTCTTCCAGTCAGTCCATGTTACTTACAACATCTGGCTCACGCAAAGTTGCCAAATGACTACACTCTTCCAAACCACATAATGAGATGGTAAGCTCCACCCCTGCCTGTTTGGAAATCAGGAAGGCCGTGTACATATAGATGCTATTATTTATTGAAGCCAGTGTGTGCTCCCGGTGTGGACAGCAATCCTTCGCACATACACAGCAGATTGGGGTTGTCTGTGTAGTCTGTGTGCTTGGTGAGAAGATAATTTCCTATTTTTTTATATCATTTACTGTTTCTGTTCGGGGAAGACGATGGAGGCCAAGACCAGCACTCTGTGAAACCTTGGCAGGAAAGGTGAAAGCAGATTAAAGAAGAAATAAAAGCCTTGTTTCATGTTTTTATGTCTTGGCTCCAAAGCAGCCAGGGGGAAATGCAGAACTGAGAAACAAATTCAACACCAAAAAGCCTCTCGGAGTGGAGTTAGAACCAGAACTTTATTGTAGCGGATACACTTTCTGACCTAGGATCAATATACACATCTCAAGAGTGACACCCAGGGCAGCCCCTCTCTGTAGGCTTCCCGGTGGCGTAGGCAGCAGCTACAGTGGCGGGTAGGGAGGAAGGCTGCAACGGAGAACACAGGGCGACCATCCGTTTTCTTGAAACAAGCCGTTATGACCACAGGACAGTATTCAAAATTGCCCCTCCCCACTTTAGAAATCTAACATTTTACTTTTATTTTTAAGTGGCTGTGTGGGTTTCCAATCTTGTTCTCTCCTTTACTCCTGCCACTGAGTGTGGCTGATGGGGCAAGTGTCAGGCTGGGGAGGTCAGCGGGGACAACAGCGGTTGTGGGGGGTGGACTAGCATGTGGCCTTTGGCTGGGGAGGCTCTTAGTAGCCCATCTGGTCCTTGGCCGTCCTGAGTCCCACTCGCTCAGGCCTGCTGTTGGCCCTAGACCAAGCTGCCCAAACAGTCTGCACCATGGTTGTCAGTCTGCATCATCTATACAGTATTGCGTCAGCAGGGAAAATACATTTATGGAATATAAGCAACAAGGCTGCACAAGAGTCCCGGGGACTGTACAAGGCGTGTGGAAGAGGCCAGTGATCCCAGCAACCCCCTCCCCCCAACCCCCACCAAATTAGAAACAAGTAGAACCCCCCCAAGAAGATCTGGCTGTGTCCAGCAGCCCACCCCCATGGAAGGACCCCCCAACCAAAGCCTGTGCCCACCAGTAGAGCCCTGAGGCTGAGTTCTGAGTGAGGCTTGGGTCACAAGAAGGACCTGAGGGTTGGAGGGCCAGGCCAGTGGGAGCAGCGAGCCCCTGGGGACCTCCACTGCAGTTAGCGGAATTTCACTTTAAACTCCGGTCCTTGATTATAACTAGCACAAAGAACACAACAGAATTCCACTTTATTTACAAAATATTAAAAAGTCAGTTAATCATCTACATATTAACCCCCATCCTGTCATTTTATACATGCACTAGTTTGGAAAAAAATAAAGACTTTTTTTAAAAAAAAAAAAAGGAAACCAAAACCAAACAGGTTACCAGGTGGAAGTGAGCAATGTTACCCATGGTCAGCTAGTTCCTTGGCGTGGCTCCCGGAGGTGTGAGTGAGGAGGGACCAGCGGACACAGCGTGTTTGTGTGTCCAGGCACCAAGGGCCACTGCGAGGAGCGAGATGATGGCAGAGGGCAAGGAGGTCAAGGTCCAGGCAGGAAAGAGGGAGCCTAAGCCCTATATACCAAGCGGGAGTGGACGACCGGCACCGGGGAGGGTCTGCAGACCTACTGGCCGAATGATTTTTTACATCATGGATCCTTGGGGGCGAGTAGGGCGGGGGACGGCAGTCTTCGGAAGCAGAAAAGAAGATGGCCATGGAGATGTAGCTGCCGCTGTTGCCACCACTACAGCCCAGCCACGGGGTCAGTAGCTGAGGGTGGAGTCGTCCCACTCCAGCTGCTGCTGTCTGCTGGTGCCCGGCTGGTCCCCATGCCCCCCTTCCTCCTCCTCGCTGCTCTCCGATTCGGCGCTAGTAATGTCATCGTCCTCCTCACCCTCCTCACTCTCTTCCTCCTCCTCCTCTTCCTCTTCCTCCTCACTGCTGTGCTGGTCCTCATACGTCTGACAAAGAGACCACGAGTGAGTCCAGCCCCCGGCCCCCTGGCTGCACCCCGAGCACCCAACACTGAGGAGGGGCCCGAGTGGGACTGATGTTGCCTTATCAGAGCGAAAAGAAAACCAAAGGTCTGGCCATCGACCACGTGGGCATGAGCCTATGAGATACGGGAAGAACTGTACCAGGGCACGTTGGTTTCCCCACCCAAGGAACCTGTCTCACGTGAGCAGGGACCAGCATGGTAACTGAGGAGACAAAGAGCACTCTGTGGATGACAGCAGTCTTCGTGGGCTCTGCCTCTACACTTACTGCTTTTGCTTAGTTGTTGTTGTGTGTCACTGAGTAGATTTTGACTCACAGCCACCCCATATAGGTTTCCAAGAACAGCTGGTGGGTTTGAACTGCCGACCTCACAGTCATCAGTCAAGTGCTTATCCGACAATGCTACATCAGCTGGCATAAGGCACCTTGGAACCTGAGTTAGGTGGTTACACGCTTAACTACTAACTGAAAATTTAGTGATTTGCACCTGCCAGCGGTTCTGATGGGAAATGACCTAACAATCTGCTCCCATAAAGACTGTTGTTGTTAAGTGTTGTGAAGACGGTTTCAACTCATAGTGACCCGGTATAGGGTTTCTGAGGAGTGGCTGGTAAATTTGAACTGCTGACCTTGTAGTTCAAGCTGACTTTGTGGTCCAATGCTTATCCTACAGCGTCACACCAGGACCCTAGGAAACCCTATGGGGCAGTTCTACTCTGCCACCCGGGATCACTACGTGACTCCAGAGCACTTTACAACAGTGAGCCTGTTTACTGTCTGACAGAGTAGGATGCCCACCTCACAAAATGGTTCCGAGGGTTACAGGCTCAAGTATGTAAACAGGGCGGACAGGGAAGGGGCCAAGGCTATGGGGCCGCCCATCCACTCCTACCTCCATGGGGTTCACGGTGATGGTCAAGGCAGAGTCATCCCAATCCATCTCATTCTCCTTCCCTGTGTCCTGGTCCCGCATGGTTCGCTGGTGAGCAGCCCGGATCCGGAACACCCCCAGGATGATCATGAAAACCAAGAAGCTGACGCACACGACAATGACCACAGTTGCCGTGCTGGGCACGACTGCTGAGAGGGAAAAGGTGAGACGGGCTAGTCACACAATTTAACCCAGAGGTCGCTGAGCCACAGGAACTCAAAATGGGCTGTCCCAATGCTCAGTCTGATCCCCAAGGATAGGAAGGAACCTTAGAAACACTGAGGAACTGGACCAAGAGCAAGTGAGCCTGGAAGTGAATCTGTTTCTAAAGTTCTACTCTGTGACCTTGGTGACTCCATGTGCCCTCTGCACGGGGACTACTGATACTTTTGGGGGCAGTGATGTGCTCCTGCAGGGCCCATCTGGCCTGCCATCATCAGGGAACAAGGGAAGGCTGAGGGAAGGCGCATCAGCAAAGATGCCCTCCCAGCTCTTACCTGCAAAGGGATGGGGGCTGGCCAGGTTGTGTCCCGACAGGTCAACGAAGGAGTGGTGTTCAGGGTGCACGAACTGCGGCTGTGCGGCCATGTGGTTGGCATGCTCCATGGGGTTAGCTGTGTGTATCACATTCACCTGCAGCAGCAAGAGGAGAAGATACTGGCCAAGGAGTCCAAGTGGAATCTAGACACTGACATGGACCAGGGCTGGTCAGTGCACTATAGCACCATCTGTGATGTGAGGACAGGAATTGAGTGGAAGCCTGTGGAAACTTCTGTCACAAGTTGATGCTGCCACAACATCCCAGAAAAACATCATCGCTTCTCTAGTAACTCCTTTTTTTTTTTTGCCCTGCACACTAAACTCCCTCTTGAAAACTTGTAAGCCAGTCACTTCATGCCTTTATCAACCCCACATTTTAGGTAGCCAATGTCTAAGTTGCCTGTCCATATCAACCCTGTATAAAGAGGGGATAGGATTGATATTTGATGTGAAGACTCCCTCCTTCCCTCTCAGTTGGTATTCTGAGCTACTACCTCCATGAGTATGTTGTTGTTAAGTGCCATCGACTTGGCACCAACTCATACCGACCCTATGCACAACAGAACGAAACACTGCCCGGTCCTGGGTCAAACTCACAATTATTGCCACGCCTGGGTTCACTGATGCTGCCACTTTGCCAATCCATCTCATTGGGGGGGTCTTCCTCTTTTTCTCTGACCCCCAACCTTACCAGACATGGTATCCTTCTCCAGTGACTGGTCCCTCCTGACAATATGTCCCAAGTATGAGAGACGAAGTTTGGCCATCTTGGCCTCCAAGGAGCACTCTGGCTGCACTTCTTCCAAAACGGATCTATTGGTTCTTTTGGCAGCCCGTGGCACTTTCAATATTCTCCTCCAACATCATAACTCAAATGCATCAATTCTTCTCTGGTTTTCCTTATTCACTGTCCAGCTTTCACATGCATAAGAGGTTATTGAAAATAGCATGGCTTGGGTCAGGCGCACCTTAGTCCTCAAGCTGACATCTTTGCTCTTCAACACTTTAAAAAGCTCTTGTGCAGCAGATTCGCCTAATGAAATATGTCATTTGATTTCTTGACTGCTACTTCCATGAGTGTTGATGATTGATCCAAGAAGACTGAAGTCCTTGACAACTTCAAGCCTCCATTAGTATAGGTCAAGTCCAACAAATTGTAGCAATTTACACTTGTTTCCTTTATCAAAAATTGTTTTTTTTATCTTCCTCTAATCGAGTTCTGATCATCAAGCCATCGAGGCTAGATCAAACGGGTCTAGTAACTCATTCTTATTGTCTAAAAGAATGCCTCCACAATAGATTGGGGTGGGGGTAAGGCAAGAACACCTCGGGCCTTTGCCACAGGGAGGTAGGGAAGCCCCTTTCCCCTCAAATCCACAGCCATGGGGCAGACAGACCAAACGGAACCACTTATTTCCATTCAAATCAGTCATCCTTTGGCCCAAACAACGTACGAGGGGGGCTTCAAAAAGTTCATGCAAAAATGGCATTATTTTTTCATTCCATTTTCCCACAAACTTGTTGAAGTTCCCTCCTGCTGGGATAACTCTGGGCAGTTTCCCCCACCACCTCAAGATCATGACTTGGCAGCAGCTGGGCAAGTCTATAGATCATTTCAAAACAAGATGAGCTGCCTACTGGCCACTGTGGCCTGAGTCACTGTGATCATCCTCAGCAGATGTGCACCTGCTGTTGTTGGTCCCAATGCCAGCACCCAGGCAGCGACCATCTTTACTGAGAACAGGGCCAGCGACCTGACAGGTCCACAAAGTGCCTTGTTCTCTGGGTGCACATACCGTAGCAGCCTCATGTCTCCCTCAGGTGTGAACTCTCAAGACAACCTTGTTCCTACTCTACAGGCACTTAACTGCCACCTGCCCTCCCTTAAAGGCTTCAAAGGCCCCCTGAGGACCCCAGGCTTCCCTTGCAGAATCTGCCACCCCAGCCCTGCAGCACCTTGACGCCCCAGGCATGAGTCTACACAGCTGACACCTCAAACAAAGGCTCTACAAAGCATGTCTGCAAGCATTAGGGCCCACAGCCAGGAGCTCCATTAGCCCCGCACTCACCTCTACTTTGAATTCGTTGCTGACATAGCGACCGTTCAGCTCCGAACAGACGAGCTTGAACTTGCGGTCGAGCAAGGACCTGGTGTGCCAATTGCGGTAGCGCAGCAGATGCAGCACCTCCTCGTAGTTGGCCATGGTATCTACGCCTGCAGGGGGAAGGGGAGAGTAGGTTTACCTGGGGCTTCTCAGTAGGAAGAGAATCGTGGACAAAAGTAGGCACTTGGACTGGCTGAGCCAGGGGTCACGTTTTGTCTTTCTGAAAGCAAGGTGTGCTGGATATCTTTCCCTCTGGAGGAAGGTACACCTCCCATACCTGAACCCTATCCCTTTCTAAGGACATGCCCCGCCTCCCACTACAGACGGGTGTCGGCGCACAGCCAGTATTCATCCCATCTCCTCTGGGGCACACTCCAAGTTCTTAGATGAAAGGAGGCAGCCGGCTGAGTGTTCAGCATTTACCTTCCCTGTCTGGCCTGCTCCAGCGCCTCACCTGTGAGCAGCGTCCCCCTCACCTGTGAAGACCATGCCCAGGTCAGAGCTGCTCATCTCAATGCCCTTCTGCTGCAGGCGCGTCAGGTCCACTTCTAGGCTCTCTTGCTCTTGGTTCAGTTCCTCTCCCTCCACGATGACCTCACAGGTATCCAGGTCATGCACAATCTCCTCAGACACCAGGGACTCTTGAACTGCAAAAATGGCAAGTGATGACAGACTGCATCCAGTGTGCATGCTTACACTCAAATCACATGGCCCCTAAGTAGGGCTGGTCACACTGGCTCATCCTCAGATCCATGAAGCTCTGCAAATAACCAGTGAGGATGGTAGGGGAAGAGCCACTTCCAGGAATTGGGGAATGCTTATGTGTCTAGAAGGCTGAGCCCCCAGTGTGGTGGGGACCTGTGCCCGCAGTGCGCACACTGCCAGGGGCGGGAAGGCATGACAGCTCCACATTTCCCTACTACCGTCTCACCTCTTCACTCTTCTCAAGCTAAATCTCAGATCCTGGCACTCAGCCAAGAAAAGAGGGTGGGATCTACATGGAGTTCTAGTCCATGGGTCAGATTTGTTGTTATATGTCGTGGAGTCGGTTCCGACTCATGGCGACCCTGTATAGGGTTTCCGAGGCTGTAAATCTTTACGGGAGCAGAAAGCCTCATCTTTCTCCTGTGGAATAGCTGGTAGTTTCGAATTGCTGACCTTGTGGATCGCAGCCTGATTTGTAACCACTATGCTAGCAGAGCTCCTTATGGGTCAGATATAGGTCCCCAAATAGCAAGATGAACATTTAAACCCTCCCCAATCCTGCTGAGAAGAGGAGCCCAGGCAGTAAGAGGCAGCGACAGGGGTTTCTACTGTGTCGTCTCCAGTCAGGGGCCGGGAGAGGGCACCAGTCCCACCTGAAGGGCTGTTACCTGTGGGATCCTCGTCACCATCCCGTTCAGGCTCCACTTCTCTCGTGATGGTGCTGATGATCCGAAGTTCGGGGAACAGGAATACCCCCTCCGAGCTTTCAAATTCCGATGCTGCCCGAGCAAAATGGTGGACCCCACTCAGGCTGATCTTGGGCTCCTCTGGCTGCAAAACCATCACGTAGCCATCCACTGGGGGGATGGAGATGCAGGGGGCCTCATTGAAACACCTGCCCACAGAAACAGAGGGAAAGGGAAGGCTCAGGGCTTCAAGAGCCAGTTTTGGGGACCACCTAGGGGTAGAAACGACATCTCAGGACATATACACCCACAGGGCACAAGCAGCATTCGAATCTCTCACTCCAACTCAGTGCTGATGAGGAAGGGGCCACCTTTTCTGACAAAAGGAAGACTAGGTTTTCTGTTTTCTTCTCGGGTGTCACTGTAGTGGGACAGCTTTATTATTAGGAACCTGAACATACTTGACCGTGCTGGTGACTTTGAGTCTCCGGATTCCAGGAGTGGGGAACTGGCGTGAGTTCAGGTAGGAAATGTGTTGCATGGCCTTATCCAACTCCCCAACATCCTCTCCCTCCAAGGTCAGCATAGACTGACTGGGGTTGACTTGGACCTGAAAGAAGGCCAAGCAGAGAGAGAAAAGAGTAAGGTCTCATTTGCAGGAAGCTGACAGCCGTGAATGCTCTGGCAAAGAGGATTCGCTTGGGATCCATTTGCACTGGTAACTTGACACAGTATGGTGGTAATGTGCTGTGGAGTCGGTTTCGACTCACAGCAACCCTGAATAGGGTTTCTGAGGCTACGAATCTTTATGGGAGCAGAAAGCCTCCTCTTTCTCCGGAGGAACAACTGGTAGTTTCTAACTAGCTGACTTTAAGGTTAGCAGCTCAACTCATAATCACTACGCTACCAGAGCTCCTGAAACAGTATAGCTTGTAAAATTCCAGTGAATGAAACCCTCCTTTGATACGATGGTCATCTCTAGAGTTTAGACGGAATACAACCAGATGCTCCTTCCAAGTGAGGACGATGACACTTCAGCTTGCTTATGTGTCACTGGGAAACATCAGTCTCTAGGAAAGGCTATCATGGATGGCAGAGGAGAGGGTCAACGAAAACGAGAGAAACCTTCCATGAAGTGGACTGACACAACAATGGACTCAAAGATACCAAGGCCCACGAGAATGGTGCTGGGCTAGGCCTTGTTTCATTCTGTTGTCCATAGGTCACCATGAGATGGAGTCAACTCAATGGCAACCATCTCTGAAGAGCAAACGTCGCACGCACAGATTACTACCCCGTCCAGATAGGCTAGGGAAAGAGTCATTGACTCTCCGGTTGGTGTTACCTTCACACTTTTGCTGCCGTCTTCAGGGATCTGCAGATCTAGCCCCTCTTTGCAGGTATACAGACAATCGATCACCTTCTTATCTGCGAGTTTCCCAGAACGGATCGTTAGGCCAGCCAGATTACCTCGGAAAAACTGGGTCATGTGCAGGTCACCACCTTTGGGATGGGGGAAAAAGCAAGAAGTTACAGGAGTAGCCAGAGCCTTCTGTTTTGCTTTTGAACGAGGTGTTACCAGTGGTGGCAGCTTGATGTATGGACATGCAGGTTAGTTCATACCAAACCCTGTTAGCCTTGCAATCTACATGGAAGCGCAATGAAGAAATTAAATCGTGGATGATCATGCATATGGCCTGCAGAAAAGAGGAGTCGGGGTCTCTCACCTATGCCTGGAATCCAAGAGGTCCCATGAGTGTCCCCTCATGTCTGGTCACCCCCTGGCAAGGATAAGTTGCACCAGCCCCCATCACCTGGTACAGAATGGACACTTCTGCCACTACTAGCCTCGACACCCACTCTTCCTTTTCCGTCAGCTGCATCACACTATGGCTGTTCTTTCTAGCTGAGTAGACTTGCAGGATGTACACTAGTTTGGAGATGACCCTACGCAATCATGATACGAAGACCAAAGTGCTGCTTGAAATCATGCCCCACTCTTCAGCACGAAGCAGCAAGGTATCAAGGCCTTGAAGACCATCAATGAATTTGCTGAACTGCATCCTCGTAACTGGGAAGCAGAGATGCTCCAAGGAAAACCCAGAAAATGGATCTTGCCAAACCATGTCAGAGAGTTCTAAACAGGTGAACCTTAACCTTGTTCTTCAGCTGATGGAGGAGAGACAAATCCCTAGCAGCTGGGCTCATGTTCTGATCAGGACCTTAGACCCTGGACATTACTACTAGTCATCTCTAGGGGTCAAGGTTTCTGTGAAACATATATCTAAAATCAACGTCGATCAAGAGAGACCATCTGTTAATAAACCTCTTTCTGTCTAGGGGTTCAGACCCATGAGAACCATGAGGTAAGTGACCACCCAACATGTCCTGTTGAGATGTCAGCAGAGTCTCATGCAGTGGATCAGGGCAAAATATGAGGAAAAACCCCACAAAAACATCCCATTAGTGTAGTGCATTAGTGAGTCATGTGCCCTCACTTTAGCGGGGATCCGAGTGGGCAGAAAGGATCTCAGGGGGCAATGGAAAGCACAATGCAGAGAGACACAAGACAGAGCTCAAATGGTGTCGTGGTCAAACTGCAACCCCTGGCATTTCATGCGCAAAGTGGAATGAGTCAATGTCTCTTTATAGGAAACCTAAGAGTGAAGTGTAGGGAAAGGAATCCAGAAACCTGCAGAGGTCACAGCCACAGGCTCAGTCTCATTGTCATTCTCAAGTCCTGAATACTCTGTAGAAAGCAAGACAAAGACAACAGAAAGGCGCCAAGAGGTTAGGGTTTTCGCACTAGACTGGAAACATTGGTTCAGAAGCCATCAGATATAAAACATGCCCCCACCCCCAGCCCTGTCCCTCTCTAGGACAGATTGCACCCAGATGCAAGCTAGTTATTGCTCACCTCTTCCCAGAAGCAGTATTTTCCATCCCCAAACGACCTTGTATTTTCTTTTGGTCCACATCCTTCTTAGGTGCAGTGGCAGCAGAAGGCAAGTTTCATCTCCCACTGTCTGCCTGACCTTTACACTGAAACTGTGGCCCTCCCTGCCCTAGTGCCTTTGGTGTGGAGATGTGTCATGAACCATCTGACTGCATGCTGCCAAAATCTAGATCTCAGAAGGGGAGGGAATGTTCTTCCTTTGATGCCATCAAGGCTGGGGACAATGACCCAATCTGCATAAAGAAGCACCTTCTTCCTCCCCTTCCTCTTTTCTTATGCATCCCACCATGTAGACCCTCCCTTCTGGTATGTAAGCTCTAGGTCCCTTTGTCCCTGTCTTTCATCTACAATGCATCAGAAGGCCTATGGGTCTTTAGAGGAGGTTCCTTGGTCAGCTCAGCCACATACGAAGGCCAAGGGGTGACTAGGTTAAGAGGAAATTGTACTCTTTCCTCTCCATCCTGATTACCATCAAAGTTAACAAAGCGTATGAAAACACTACTTTGGGTAAATGTCAATGATTTGCTGAGAGCTACAGTCCTGCACAAACCTTATTCCCTTCATTTACCACAACATGCTGAGAGCTACAGTCCTGCACAAACCTTATTCCCTTCATTTACCACAACATGCTAGATTCAAAACCAGACCCATAAAAACCACTGTGGTGCTATTGGATCAGCATTGGGCTGCTAACTGCAAGGTCAGAGGTTCAAACCCACCAACCGCTTCTCAGATACCCTATACAGGGTCACTATGAATCAGAACTGACTTGACAGTACTTAACAACAACAAGACTATTCATTGGTCTCACAACCTGTACTACTGAGAGCCGTCATGCACCCTTTATAACCATCAAACCCTGGACCCACAGCAGGGAGGCCACTGGTACACACAAGTGGGCTAGCTCATGCAGATTCCTAAAAAAGTTTGGTGTATGATAACCACACAAAGGTATGTATTTAAAGCTCAAAATCTTTAACTGAAGAGAAAAGCGGACATTTTCACAACTTTCTCTGGAGCATAAGGGAGACTCAAAGGTTAAGGCCCTTTCCTGGAGGGGCCCTCACCAGATGTGGTCCCAGGCCAGGGTCCCAAGTACAAGACAATATTGGAGAGGCTAGATTCTGGATGGATTATGATATGCCTTGGTGATTTTCCTTTGGGATCTATCTTGCCTGAGGTTCGTTCAGCTTCTTGCATGCTTTTTTTCTTGTCTTTCATGATGTTAAGAGAAATTTTCTTCCAGCAGCTCCTGACTATAGTTTTCTGTGGTTTTGTCTCTTCCTGTTCTGGAATTCCCATAGATTATTCTTCATATTGTCCCATATCTATCTTAGGTTGTCCAGATTTTTTCATTCTTTTTTCTGATGTCCTTCTATCTTACTACTATTGAGAGATTTATCTTCAAACTCGAAAATTCTGGCTTCCGGTGACTCAGTTCTACTCCTTTGCCCTTTCAGTGTATTGTCTATTTCCGGTATCTTAGTACTGTTCATCTGGATTTGTTTGTAGGTTCTGCATTGTCTCCTATGTTGTATCTATTTTGTTTGATTGTTCCCTATAGCGCTTTTCTGAATTCTTCCTTGTTTTCCTTGACCTTTTCAATGAGACATTCAGGTAATCCCAGTGCCTCTTCTTCCTTAAAAGCATCTTATAGCTCTTCTTCTTAGTTGTTTGTTTAAGCTGCTCTGTCTTATTTCTTCATGCTGCTTTCTAGGCATGTGGTCTTGTATTTGTATTACGTTGATCAATGTATGCACTCACCAATTGCCTCCTGGTGGATGCGATCAGGAGACGAGCTTCTCTGTTCACTGTACACACCGTTCAATTCAGAGTGGATTTAGCAGATGTTGGTTGTAGTCACTGCTCTGATGTAGAGCAGTTGGTATTAGCTCTTGCCTGACTGGTGGGGCTGTAAGGGGTATGGCTGTGGCTTGGCTGTATGGCCACAGTTGCTATCTTCTGTTGGGTAAGGTTAGAAGAGAAAACACTCCCACCACAAGAGAGAAAGAAGGAGGACAAAGAAATAAAACTTTGGCTCTGTGAGTTACAGGCAGGCTTCTGCAATGGGAATGTTTTCTTTCTCTCAATCTGCTCTCACCCATTCAAAATGACTTGTTTCTGGATTGAGATTCAGGACAAGCCCGTCTCCTCTCAGGGCCTGAGGCACAGGCTGCCCAGCCTGCTGCTGTACCTGCTGGCCTGCAGCTGTGAGGAGGACACACCTCAGGTAAGGTGGGGGGCGTGGTACACTGTCTACCTTCGAACCCAGCGAGATTCCTTCCTAACACACCACTAGAAATGACATTCCTGTCCAACGGAAATGAAGCTGCTGTCTTTAGCCCAGGCACTTCATGAGGACTTAGCAACAAATGTCATTTCCACCAAGAGGAATAAAGCTCTCCTGCCTGCTAACTGCGTTTAAAGAATTGTGTTTGGTTGGTTTGGGCATTCAGGCAGATTTTTCTGGATGGGGATATCAAGAAGGCTGAGGAAGAAAAAGTAGTCCTGCTGATGCCATGGGTTAAGCGTTGGGCTAACAACTGATAGGTCGGCAGTCTGACCCCACAAGCTGCTCAATGGGAGAAAGATAAAACAATCTACATCTGTAAAGATTCCAGCTGCAGAAACTCTGCTTTGTCCTATAGGGTGGCTATGAGTCTGAACAGCAGTGGTTTGGGTTTGGAGGTAGAAAAAAATGAAAGAAGATGAAGAGGCAATGTTATTTGACAGCAGATTCTGACATGAACAGAAACCAAATAACAAAGTTCCCAGAACATAAAAACAACTTTTAGGCTTAGATTTTTCTTCTCATTGGTCTTTTAAAAAAAATGATTCAGAGATTATACTGTTTAATTTGGTGAACAAATTGGAGTAGAAATCTGAAGAGCACCAACTGAGGAACTCCTAGGTTCTCTGGTTTCACCTTCCATCTTCTCCTACATCAACTGTCCCCAGATCTGATCTGGTAATCTGCTGAGAAGGGTCACTCTAAAACACTGATTTCCTTTTCATTTCAGAGACTCCTCAGGAAAGTGATAAAATCCAGATTCTACTAAAATCAGTATATCTATCTTAGACACCAGGGGTTTTTACAAACTGCTAACCTAACTCAAGTTAGACCCCTTCCACAGGGAGAAAAAAATACTCAAAAAGTCTGTGAGCAAACCCATGTCAGGGCTTTGAAACAATAGAATCTGTATACTCAAGGATGGGGCTAGAGTGGGTCTGTGGATTTGGATGGGGAAAATGATATATTTATTTTCACTAACTTCTAAAACTTAGAATTTCCTCCGGTTATAAATATAAGCAACAAACCTCAGTCGTATTAGCATTAACTGCAACTGACAGCTACATTCACACCATGCTACATAGTTGTTATAGAAATCACAAAACATGGCACATGCTGATTACTTTTAAAGTTTAGGTAGTTACTAGACTTGATGCTAAATGAAGCAGCACATACAGGTGGACTCTCCTCCTCCCCCTCCGCGCCCCCGCACCAACGGATACTCAAGTTGCAACAAAGTCCACCAATAACTGCTTTTTTGTACTTCTTATTGCTAGCAATACACTTTATACAATCCTGCAGGATGTGATTTGCCGATGCTATCATTCTCAGGCACTCCCTCACAGACTTTCAAAGATGAGGTTTTTTGTTTGTTTGTTTGTTTTAAGAAGATATTCGACTTACAACAGAATTGTCAGAACAAAATCCCATCATAAGTCGGGGACTCCCTGTATACTGCAACTTCGCAGGTTGATTCTTCTATTATTTCAGTAACTACATTGCCTTTGTCTTCCTATGTGTTTTATTATATAGAGTAAAAAGAAGTTGCTCTGAGAAGGTTTCCAGTCACTTCCTCAGATGACCAAGGAGACACCCACAGTATAAAGAGGATGCTAACTCCCTGACCTGGTGATTTAGAGCGGGGCCGTGAAAGTACAGGCCTCAGTGGTTCAATCCCAACTCTGGGACTCACTTCTCTGAGCCCGTTGCTTTAGGTAAAAATCTGAAATAAGAAGTGTTTCTAGCTCTTCATATTATGTACCACTAACTTTATTCTGATTTATAGCAACCCTATCTCCTAGAGTTATTGAAACGATTAAATAAGATAACGTATGTAAAGTAATCAACATACAGCCAACTTATATTTTGCCATTTAGTAAGCACAGAATAAACAGTGCTGGGGTGGCGGTGGCTGGCATTGCATCTCCATTTGCATTTTTCTGAAATACATGCCTCCTACAAACTCTGTATCTCACACATGGAAAAGGTAATGAGTTTCCTCATTTACACGAGTTTTTCTAGAAGGTTTGGTAACATGATCTTTGCAGCAGAGATTTCATTGGCATCCTCTCTAAAGTTATTAGTATTTTTGGAAGTCCAGCAGCTCCTTCACAGTGGTCCCACCAGGCTAATAAGCGCTCCAGGTCTGATGTAAGTTCTCATTCTGTGTTCCTTAGAGAAGCCCTTTTGATTGTTGCCTCTTTGCCCTTGTACAGTTTTCAATAAACAGATTAATTTATAAAAACAGTTCCCCAATTACAGTCTCCTTCTGTGTTATATTCCTCGCCCAGGTTTCTGGGGAAGATGTGGGTGGATTTCAGTCCCATGACACACCTTCTGAGAGCCCATTAATCGAGCTACACTAGGTCAGGGTGGAACCGGTGACCCCAAATACCCTACTCACGAGACAAGGGATGAAGAGAAAGGAAAAGGAGGTAAAGCCAGTTTCCACCATATGGCGAAAATACATGGTTTACTTCCTGGCCCTTGGGGGAGGGGAAGGAGTCAATGACATTACCTTGCCAACACGCTCCAACCACGAGCTGGGTCTCTATCTTGGATGAATGAAGTGGGTAATCTTCCATCACAGAGAAGGGCTCATGAGAAACACCATCCAGGTAGAGAGTCACACTTGGGAATTCCACATTGAGGACATAGTGATGCCATTCTTCATCGCAGACCTAAGAGAGGCAAAGGGACATGGGTCAGGGGCAGGAGGGGGCAACCTTCAACCTTCCCTCTCATTCAGGGACCCAATAAAACCAGCACTGTGGAGAGCAAAGGGAAAATAAATGCAGCACCCCTAATGGACATCCGTTTTCTTGACAGGATTCACGCTTTTTTTTTTGTTTCTTTTTCAAAGTAATAAAATATTGTGCAAATACATCTCACCAGGAGGGGCCAACACAGCACTACCATCTCCAGGGCATTTTGCACAGCCTCACTCTGCTCGTTCATCGTATCATGGAGGCCCTAGAAAGGAAGCTGTCCGATTCCCATCCGCCAGCAGAACGTTCTCCCGTCAGCAGACTGGAGACTTAGCCTGCCGACTGGCCGTTCCTCTTCTGGATCAAAACTAAAAGCACCTCGAATCTCAGAATGTGGCACACTGTTGGACATGCCCTTTTTAGTTTTTAATTCAAAATTGCAGATTTAAGTAAATATGACCATATAGCTCAGATAGCATGACAAGTAAGCAGAGTTACTTTCCTATCATGAATGAGCATCTCACTAATATTTATTTCCTGAGCTGTTAAATGAGATGATTGAGCGGCAGTCTCTAAGGCCCCTTTCAGCTCTGTCATCTCCCGATTTGGGGTTTTAGAGGACCAGGCAGACACTCCAGAGAAAGGACAGTAAAGGAGATTGCGTGTGATGCGATCCCTTTCAATGTACTCCTTTCTTCTTGTGGTTAGTGTTAGGGGTGAGGGTTAGAGTTATTTATTTTTCTTGAAATCTCTTTGGTTTCCTCTTCATTCAGAAGTTCTGTAACTATATTATTCCCTCTTTTTACCTTATGGCTTTATTGTTGTTGCAACTGTATCTCTGGTTCTCTGTTTTCAGTCTGATAGGACTGCCATTTCACTTGGCATGCCCTTTATATCTGGGTTGAGTCAGGGGATACGTTACTGTATTGTAGTTTAATCTCAGTTCGCTGTATGCTGTTGCTGGTTCTCTGTCCAAAGAACTTGAGTATTTTAAGACTGGTCTGGTTTTTAAAATTATTTTAATTTCTGTTTGCCTGAATATGACCTAACTTCACTATTACATTTGATGGGCAACATTGTTGTATATATGATTCTCAGATGGCAAAATTATTTTTCTTTCAGAGTATTATATATACCATTCTACTATCTTCTTGCCTTGCCTGGTTTCTGCTGAGAAATCAGAGCTTAGTCTTGTTAGTTCTCCTTTGTAGATAACTTTGTTTTTTCCTGAGCTGCTCTAAGGATTCTTTCCTTGTTTTTGGTTTTGAAGAGTTTGATTTATAATATGCTTTGGTGTTTTTCTTTGGGGGGTCTATCCTGTTTGGAGTGCACTCAACTTCTTAAATGGCTATCTTCTTGTCTTTCATGATGTTAGGGAAGTTTTCTTCCAACAACTCTTGGGCAATCTTCTCTATGGGTTTATTTTTTGTCTCTTCCTATTCTGGAATTCCTATCATATGTAAGTTATTCCTCTTGCAGTCTCCCACATAAATCTTAGGCTTTCTTTGTATTTTCTTGTTCTTTTTTCTGATTGTTACTCTAGCAGATGAGCACTGAGAGATCTTTCTTTAACCTCAGTAATTTGGTTTACACTTCTTTGTCCTCCCAGTGTAATATCTATTTCTGAAGTCTTAGTATTAATCTTCAGACTTTCTACCTGCCACTTTTGTATGGTTCGCAGCTTTTCAATTATTTTGTCAGTTGGTTTCTTGAATTTTCCCATAGTTTTCTCTGTTTCCCTTGAATTCATCTGCAGTTTTCTCGATTTTTTTTCTCTATCTGCTGAAGTTGTCTAATTTGCATTCTTTTAAATTCCTTATTTGATAGCATCTCTATTGTCGCATTTTCTGATTCTGTGTTTTGGTCACTTGTTTAAGGCACTCTGTCTTGTTTCCTTGAGTAAGCTGAAATTGTCTGTTTTCACTGAGACATTATGGTGTCATCTTTATGTTTAGCTAATGCCTGTATATTGATGTGTTCTCAGGCATTTAATCACGTGTCTCTTGGTAGATGTGGTAGAGACATGAAGTGTGAACGCTGTTAGTTCTTTGTTCACTATTTGTGTATTGTAGTGGGTTCACGCACCTCCAAAAACAAGGATGCCATACCAGGTGCCTACCCTAGGCAGAGCAGAGGCTGAGCAGGAGGGGTGCCACACCCCGGCTACCAGGAGGGGATGGGAACAAGGGACCTGCACTCCCTTGCTGTCAGTCTCCCCACCACTCATCTGTCAGTTTGTCATGCTGTGGTGGCTTGTGTGTTGTTGTGATTCTAAAAGCTATGCCATGGATACTTCAAATACCAGCAAGGTAACCCACGATGGACAGGTTTCAGCTGAGCTACCAGAAGTCAGACTAAGAAGAAGAGACAGAGATCTTACAAATATTTCATCACACACAAAACCTTATGATTAGCAGTGGAACACTGTCAGCACCAGAACATTGACTTTGAAACACGATAAAGCACACCCGAATATTGTCAAATATATAGTGGCAGAAGATGAGCCCCTCAAGTTGGAAGACACTCAAAATAAGACTGGAGAAGAGCTGATTCCTAAAGGTAAAGTTGACCGTGATGACACAAATGGAGTAAAGCACTGGGACCTTCATTTGCTGATGCGGCACAGCTCAAAATGAAAAGAAACAACTAAACATCCATTAATAATCAGAACATGGAATATACAAAGTATTGCTGTTGTTGTTAGGTGCCATCGAGT